TTCCCCCCCTCCCGTTAATCCTCCTCCAGCTCCGCTCGGCCGCGGTAAACAGGTCACGGCGCGTCCCTCCTCCCGGCCGCGCTAATTAGCGCTAATTAACGCTAATGAACGCGATTCCGTGCGCAGCGCGGGGGTCTCTGCGCCCCCTCCCCAGCGCCGCGCGTTCCCTACTTCCCGGTTTGTTTTGGTTTTTTTAATTGGGAAAAACAAATTAAAAATAAATTTCCACCAAGGATTGGGACACAATTCCCCCGAGGGTTGTTCTCCTGTTTCCCATCCAGGAATTCCAGTTCTTGGCTCTTCCCAAGAGAAAATCCAGAGCCTTTGCCATCCCTGACTCGATGGTTTGGGAAAAAGAGGGTTTGGGAAAAAGAGGGGAAAAAAAAAAAAAAAGAAAGAAAAAGTACCTGAAAGTGATGGTTGAACCCAAACTCTGCGAGTTTTTTAGTGGTGGTGGTTGCTGTGGGGGGTGAAGTTGGGAAATCTCTTCCTGCTCCTTGTTTTTATGGAATACTGATGGAAAAAAAAAATAAAAATCCAAATAAGTGGAGTAGGAAGTTGTCCCGAAGCTATTTGGGGTCTGCAGTACTCCCAAAATGCTGAGAGTCACCTTGTGCCTGTCCTTTAATGAGGGGATGGAGAGAAAATAATCTAAAATTAATTGGCTGCTCCTCCAAGTCTGTGAGCTGTATCGATCACCGTGTGGCTGTGGCACGAGGAAGTTAGTTAATTGGGCTTAATTAACCTGCAGGACTTGCTGGGAAAATGATCTGGAGGCAGAAGGGGTTGGGTTCGGAGAGGAACTGGTTTTTTTTGGGTTGGGTTTGGAGAGGAATTTGGAGAGGGTTTTTTTTGGGTTGTGTTTGGAGAGAAACTGGTTTTTTTTGGGGTTGGGTTCGGAGAGGAACTGGGTTTTTTTGGGGTTGGGTTTGGAGAGAAACTGGGGTTTTTTGGGGTTGGGTTCGGAGAGAAACTGGTTTTTTTGGGGGTTGGGTTCGGAGAGAAACTGTTTTTTTTGGGGTTGGGTAGGCACAGTTGGATGTGAGGGTTGAGGAGGAGTCAGGAATTGTGGCACTGCCCGTGGAGTTTGGGGCAGGTGGGAGTTGGCAGAGTTTGAGATGTGCTCAGAGGAAGGGAAATTATTGTGGTTTTTAGAGTTGGACAAGTGTGGGTGATTTTGAGGGTACTTGTCTGGTTTGGAGGGGAATCAACCCCCAAATTTGCCCATCCAGGTTGGGAGTGGGAGGTGAACCAACCTCCAAATTTGCCCACCTGGATTGGGGATGAGAGGTGAACCAACCCCAGATTTGCCCATCCAGGTTGGTGGTGGGAGGGGAACCACCCCCCCAATTTGCCCCTCCAGGTTGACAAATTTGCCCATCAGGTTGGGGATAAGAGGTGAACCAGTCTCCAAATTTGCCCACCTGGATTGGAGGTGGGAGGTGAACCAACCCCCAGATTTGCCCATCAGGTTGGTGGTGGCAGGTGAACTAATCCCCAAACTTGCCCGCCTGGTTTGGGAGTGGGAGGTCACCCAACCCTCAAATTTGCCCACCTGGATTGGAGGTGAGAGGTGAACCAACCCCCAAATTTGCCCATCAGGTTGGTGGTGGGAGATAAAACAATCACCAAATTTGCCCATCAGGTTGGGGATAAGAGGTGAACCAGTCTCCAAATTTGCCCACCTGGATTGGAGGTGGGAGGTGAACCAACCCCCAAATTTGCCCATCAGGTTGGTGGTGGGAGATAAAACAATCACCAAATTTGCCCATCAGGTTGGGGATAAGAGGTGAACCAGTCTCCAAATTTGCCCACCTGGATTGGAGGTGGGAGGTGAACCAACCCCCAGATTTGCCCATCAGGTTGGTGGTGGCAGGTGAACTAATCCCCAAACTTGCCCGCCTGGTTTGGGAGTGGGAGGTCACCCAACCCTCAAATTTGCCCACCTGGATTGGAGGTGAGAGGTGAACCAACCCCCAAATTTGCCCACCTGGATTGGGGATGAGAGGTGAACCAATCCCCAGATTTGCCCATCCAGGTTGGGGATGAGAGGTGAACCAACCTCCAAATTTGCCTGCCTGGATTGGGGGTGAGAGATGAACCAATCCCCAAATTTGCCCACCTGGATTGGGGGTGAGAGGTGAACCAATCCCCAGATTTGCCCATCCAGGTTGGGGATGAGAGGTGAACCAACCTCCAAATTTGCCTGCCTGGATTGGGGGTGAGAGATGAACCAATCCCCAAATTTGCCCACCTGGATTGGGGGTGAGAGGTGAACCAATCCCCAGATTTGCCCATCCAGGTTGGGGATGAGAGGTGAACCAACCTCCAAATTTGCCTGCCTGGATTGGGGGTGAGAGATGAACCAATCCCCAAATTTGCCCATCCAGGTTGAGAGTGGGAGGTCACCCAACCCCCAAATCTGCCCACCTGGTTTGGGAGTGGGAGGTGAACCAACCTCTAGATTTGCCCTGGATTGGGGATGAGAGGTGAACCAATCCCCAGATTTGCCCATCCAGGTTGGGGATGAGAGGTGAACCAACCTCCAGATTTGCCCACCTGGATTGGTGGGAGATGAACCAACCCCCAAATTTACCCCATCAGGTTGGAGGTGAACCCACCCCAGCCCACATGGCCTGGTCCCTGCTGAGGGTACCAGTGTGCCCGCTCTGTCCCACCCACCCCTTCCTCCCTTTGTGCCCAGGTGACAGAGTTGGTGCTCGATAACTGTCGGTCCAGCAATGGAGAGATCGAAGGGCTCAACGACTCCTTCAAGGAGCTGCAGTTCCTCAGCATGGCCAACGTGGAGCTGACGTCGCTGGCCAAGCTGCCCACGTTGAGTAAGCTCCGCAAGGTGAGTCTCGTCCCGCTCCGGGGAGGCTGAGGCCTGGGGAGGAGCTGTGGTTGTGTTTTTGCCCCTCATGGTTGGACTTAGTGGTGCTGCTGGTTCTTCCTGGGCTTGGGAAGTGAAGGTTTTCAAGATGGCAAAGTGGTTTTGGTGTCTCCGTCGATCGTGGCGTGTTGGGCTTGGTCAGTGGGTCTTGGGGTGGTGTTGGGAAGGTTGGTCAGGCCTTGCTGGGTGTGGGACCATGATGAGAAATTCTTGGGTTGTCCATTGCTGGTGGTAAACTCTAGGCCTAAAAACTTCAACTGGAGGTGCCCAAACCCAGGAGGCTTTGAGGACAGTTGCTAATTCTCAACCTAAAGCTTGTTGACTCTTCCAGAGTGATGAAACTCTGAGTGAATGATGAGTCCAAGGGTGACAACCCAAGTGATTAACCCCTTTTTTTCCCCCCTACGACAGCTGGAGCTGAGTGACAATGTCATTTCTGGAGGCCTCGAGGTCCTTGCGGAGCGATGTCCAAATCTCACATATCTAAATCTAAGTGGCAACAAAATCAAAGATCTTGGCACTGTGGAAGCTCTTGTGAGTATGAAGTGGGAAGTGGAAGAAACACTCATTTTTTTTTGGTCAAGAATTCATGGCTATTTTTGCAGTGGATTGGGAGAGATGTTTGTCCATGTTGTGGTCAGTCCCAGCTGGGTGGACATGGGAATGGGATGTCCTGAGTGATGGATCCTTGGGTTTGGTTTGTCTCTGAAGGAAATTGTGTCGTGTTGATCCTCCCAAACGTGGTTGGAGGAGCTTTCATTGGCCTGTTGAGTGACTCAGAGGTGTGTGGGACACAGGAGCAAACCTGGGGAGCAGCAGCAGTGGGTGGAAACTGCTGGTGGTGTTCCCTCCTCCTGTTTTCCTGGAGAACTGGGATTTCTGCCCCAAACTGGGCTCTGCATACTCAGCTGGGGAGTTTGGCAGTGTAGGAGCTGTTGGGAAATGACCCACACAGACACTTTGGGTGGGAGTTCAGCCACTGCCAACGACTTGGGGTGAACTTTTTGGGGGAGAAAAAAGCTGACTAGAAACGAGAGATGAGGCCAGAACGTTCTGAGCACCACGTGGGTGTAGAGAGGAGGGGAAAAACCCTTTGCATTCACTTGGCAGCAAAATCTGAAGAACTTGAAGAGCCTTGACCTGTTCAACTGTGAGATTACGAACCTCGAGGACTACAGGGACAGCATCTTTGAGCTCCTCCAGCAGATCACATACCTGGATGGCTTTGACCAGGAGGACAACGAGGCACCAGACTCAGAAGACGACGATGATGGTAATTACCTGATAGAAATGAGTGATGCAGAGCAAGGACACACACACTGTTGGGAGCAGAGATGGTTCTGTAATGGCTTCACCTCCAGCTCTGGTATAACAGGACTTTTTTGGGGTTTTTTTGTCCCCAAACCACATCTAATTCCTTTTGGTCCCACCTTGGTTGGTGTCCTTAAAGGAGGTTGTTCCTGCTGGCAGCACATCCAGTGGGTCTTGGGTTTAACAGAGAGCTGAGCAGTTGATCCTTGGAATGTGAGAAGATATCCAGTAATGGGGGAAGCTGGGAATGAATTCCAGTGTTAAATCACTGAGCTGTGCCAGAGGTTTGTGCTCCAGGATCATCTTGTTGGAGCTACAGGTTCTACTTTGTCACATTGGTTCTACCTTGGTGTGTTTTAGGGTTGGATTCTGTAGCAAAGTTCCTTCCACTCTTTGTTTGTGCCTGGGGCTGCCTCAGGTGTGGAGAGGTTTGCCTGAAGTTTGTGGTGGAAAAGCCTTTCCTGAAGGAAAAATGATAAGGATTAATGTGGTCACAATCCATTGAGGGGAAAAGTCAAAAAACTCCAAATCCTTCTGAAAAAAAAAAAAGCCATTAGAGCTGAGCTGGTGTGTTCAGAGAGAGGGTGAAACTGAATTTCTCCTCTGTATGTTCTTCACTGCAGAAGGGGATGAAGATGATGATGATGATGAGAATGAAGCTGGTCCTCCAGGAGAATATGAAGAGGAAGATGATGAAGATGATGGAGCTTCAGATTTGGGGGAAGGGGAAGAGGAGGAGGAAGTTGGTCTTTCGTACCTGATGAAAGAAGAGATTCAGGTAGGAAGTTCTGCCAAGTGCAGGAGGCAAAGAGAAGCTCCTGGAGGGTTTTTTGTTCACTCAGGACACTTTTTTAACTGGTCCCACCAAAATTTCTGGCCAGAGGTGAAATCCCAGGCCACAAAGTGCCTGCCTGGTGTGGGTTTCTGGCCAGGGGTGAAGCCTCAGGCCACAAAGTGCCTGCCTGGTGTGGGGTTTGTGTGTGAGGCTGCACCAGTTTCCCTGCCCTCACTGGTATTTTGGTGGGAGTTTGGATCCTAATCCAGAGGGGTTTAATTCCCATGTTCCAATTCCCATCTTGGATAAGCTGTTTTTCTGTTTCCACTTGGCATATCCCCCTGTGTGTAAAACTCCCCTGAGCAGAGGGATATGAAAACAAGAGTTGAGTTTGTCTGAGAGGTGCCAGGAGGGAATGATCTCCTGCTGTTGGGAGATCACTGCTGGATTCTCTGGAGCTGATAGTTCACATTTGTCAGCTTGAAAATGAGACAAAACCCAACCCAACAACTTGGGAAAGAGATTATGCTTTGGCCTTGGCCTTGGCCCTTACCAGCTCCAGATCCAAAGGAAATCCAAAGCCATTGGCATCTCTCTCTCTCAGAAACTTCCTCTGAGCTGGCACAGCACAGTGATCAGGGGGAAAAACAAGGAGACTCACTGGGAAGTGAGGAATTCCTGGATTGCTGCTTGGGATCAGCATGGAAGAAGTAACACTTCAACAAAAAACCATTGTACAAAAAGTTTCCCAATGTTTGTACAGGATGAAGAGGATGATGATGACGACTATGTTGAAGGAGGTGATGAGGAGGAGGAGGGTAAGTGCTCAAGTTGTGACTGCAGCAATCAATCCTCTAGAATTTTGTAAGTTTGAGGGTTTGGGATGTGTGTGTGAACAGCTCAGATCCTGTTGGGCTGTGTGGGGTGAGGTTGGGGCTGTGTG